TGAGATGACTGAACATGTCAGGAAAGAAAGTAAGAGCCAATTAAAGTATATGACATGATTTGCTTCTCCTGATTAATTATTTTCCCTGGGGTGGGTGGCGGATATGGAAGCATGGAAGGATGGAAGTGGTATCTGTGGTAAGCTGCCATCTGAGGTAACAACAGTGATATTTCACTCTTCCACACTGATGCTTTTCGGTCACACTGGCTGTTACAAACTAAATGGACATGAGTGTATTCCCTGGTTTCTTACGTCCTCAGCTGACCCAAATTAGAAAAAAAGGAAAAACACAGTCTCTCATTCACCTCGAGAATGTAACCATGCAGATAGCTGGGGTTTTATGTTCCCAGATTTTGGGATATTTGTCACTGAGATTTTTCAGCCTTGACCTCATTACAATGGAGGTAAATGGGATTTTGTTTGCCATGCTCACAGCTTGAAAAATGACTAATTTAACAAAACTCAACAGCAACAAGCCTTTCCATAAAATGCACATATTGGAGCATGTGTGCTGACAATTTTCATAGGAACTATTACTCTGGTAGAAAGTATTTTAATGAGAATTGAGGCCGATGATTGTCCAGATTAACTGGTTCAGTGTTTCTACAGGGAGGGTTACGTTGGTCCAACACTTGACTAAAATATCTCATAGTGACTTTTCATCAGGCGACATCAGCAGGGTGAAGTTTTTGGCTGACTGAATGATCATAATTCCACCATTGGTCAGCCGAATGCCACTTGATGTGAGCCTGTTTCCCTATTGGCTGTTGCGCTTTAAAAATGAATTGGCACAAACAGTGTCTATTGGGGGGGAGGGGCGTTTAAAGCCTGCAGTATTGCCAACTTAGTGCAAGTTCGGTTTGCATTGCAGTTTGCTTAACCTGTGCATTGTGAAATCAAAGTGCTCCAGGTTAGCTTCGCCTTTTGCAGTTGTATTGTAGCCCTTCTGTAGACAGGTCACATGCCATTGCAAAAACATAAAAAACATCGATGGAACCATGGCCGCCGGAAACAACAGCAAGACCGGTGGATGAGGAGTAGTTTGGTCCGAGGAAATGAATAGAACAAATACATCAAACCGCAACTGGTTACTCCCCACCCCTCACCCCTTTTCTCTCTTTCTCTCCTCTCTCTCTTTATTGGAAATTCAGCTGTATTAAAATACTGTATACTGCACGTTATCACAGAGAGTAGGAGAGAAGCAAACAGATAACTGACACAAGGCAGAATGCAAACAGCCTACGATGTTGTCCAGCTTTATACTAGGTTTTAGTCTTGTTTACTTTTGAGATAAATGTCTTGACAACTATTGGATGAGTTGACATTTGCTCCACAGATTCATTCAGGATGAATTGTAATAACTTTGTTGGTCCTCTGACTTTTCATCAACATCATCAGGTCAAGGCGACGTTGTGGTGTGTTACCATTAGACTAGAATCTAGCAGACACTCTTATTATTTCATTTCAGCTGTTCTGATGTATAAAATTTTGAAGGCACAAGTATGAGCACAGAAGAACTGTTTTACCTTGGGAATATAGCAAAGAATGATGATGGTTTTGCGTGTACATAAAAGTTACTGAAATATTTATTCTGATTATCATCTTGTCCAAGAAACATTGGTATCCGTCAGTTACCCAAATGTGCGGAAGACATATGGTGAGCGATTACAGTTTGATTTAAAGGGATCAAAACAGCAAGTCATTCGTATCCATGATAGATGACCAGCTTGTCAAAACAACCTGACCCAGGATCTTTTATAGAGGAAGCAGATGGGAAACTTTCAGACTGGAGTGCTGCATCAGTTGAATAGTCATGAATCATCAGTGTGAAGAGGGGAGGTCTCCTGTGTAGCGAGAGAGAGGGTGAGTGAGATGTGGAGACATTTTTGGGACTGCCAGAGCGGGACAAGGTGAGGACATGGAGATGAGTCATGGTGCTGTTAGCTGCGCAGGAGGCACCTGCAGTGGGCTGCTCTGGCTTCATCACAGCCTGCAGGGGTGGAGCTTACTGGTCAGGGGGGAGCACACCTTGTACTGCAGGAGTCATGAGTTTGACCTTGTTGCACGTCAACGACTCTTGTCGTCATCCCCTCTTTAATATAACACTAAACACTAATTACAGCTGATAGGCTTGCCATCGGTTTTGCAGGCATTTGGTGACAAACCAAAGTATTGACCTGACGGTGGCTGTAGAAGAAAAGTCAGCAGGATTCATCCTCTGGAGACCATGAATGTAGCAATAACTGCTGAGATATTTCAGTCAGGGCCAAAGTGGTGGACCTACCAGCTGACCCACAATACCACCCAGAAGGCCACACCGTTAGCATGACTAAAATGTACTCTTCTGGTAATTTTTAAAAACCTTTCAATCTATTTTTACTTTTGGAAGTTCTTATTATTTCTTGCCCATACATGTAGCACTAAACAATCCACACAATATGACTGACAAATGTCTAAACTTAAAGGCCATTTGACACTCCAGGAAAAAAAAAAGAGTTGATCCCATTGACATATTGGCTCTTCTTTGTGTTGCTACTACTTAGGGATTTTGTTGGGTGGGCAAATCCACAAAGCATTTAGGCAAATCTCCAAATCTGGTGTTGCGTATTACCGTAAGAGTCTGTCATATACTTAACCCCAATAAATGCTCCATGGGTGGCCACGACCGTAATATGAATGGCTGCTTCATGCTCCCTGGTGCCTTCGCGTGCCACGACAGGGGGATATTATTTGAGTGCAGCGGCAGATTAAGGGTGAAGTGGTCAACAACTGAGCATTTGTAAAAAAACAACTATCAGAAACTGCCTTGATTGATGATTTTGTTTTTCTAAGACAGAAATAGTTGTAAAAGTGTAAAAGGCCCCAAATAAATCCATCATGCTCATTTCCAGGAGGTCATTTCATTCTTAGCAAAGTGATTCACCCAAAGCTGCAGGGCTCCTCAGCATCTTGTTGCCGCATCTTCAGTTTGTGAGTGCTTGCCACTTTAACTGTTTGGGGTTTTTTTTTCAGTGTGAGGTAGAGGCTCATTGGCATTTATATTTTCTTTAATCCATTTGTTTTTGGAGAATTCAATCACATTTTTGTTCTGTAGCTTTTCTTGCCATAAATCACTGCAGAGAGAAAAGTATTTTTCTTGGTTTTAGAGAAAATTCGAAGGCTCCTGCTGAGTGGTCCGTCCGCCCCCTGTTGTTACAAGCCTTACTTCTGCATAAGTTGGATGATTTTAATCTTCTCAGAAGTAATCCTTGATTGAATTTGAGGGATTACTGTGGGCTCGGCAGATAAAGGAGAGCAACTTTGACTTGGCGTCTGTCTATCAGAGAACATATAATAGAGAGAGACATGCATATAGTCGAAACAAAAGAAAGACAGGTACATAAAGTCAGGGACAGACTCTGTCAGAAGTTTAACCCCCACCTGTCACACATTTCTCCAGTGGGGGGGGTGGAGACATTGGCCTTTGCTTTATCTGTGGTACAGTCACGCAGGACCAGTCGGAGAGTGACAACATTTCCAGAGTAAAGCGTCAGGACTCTGTCAGGCCAGGCTATCAGGATGCAGCCTCAAGCGTTCTGCACCGAGTTCGGAGACTGTCATCACATTTCTTGGTGTTAACAGTCAAAATATCTGACAAATTCGCACATTGTCGCATGTCACTGAAAGCAAGGAGCAGGAGACTAATTATTAATGTTATCTTCTCCCCTGCGGCTGTGAAGAGTGGTTTTGTGTTATCTGCATGAGAGCTTGATTTGTGTCCCTCCGTGTTGAGAAAAAATAATGATAATTTCGTTTGGACATCCTGAGTGGAGCAGAGGGGGCAGCCACTCTGACTCTTGTTTTGACAGATGAAATAAGATGACAAAGGCCCACAGTACTTTTTTCTCTTTTAAGGGGGAAAAAGAGATTACATGAATGGTTGAGTCTGGTTATGTTCAGGTCTTTGCCTTTGTACATAATCCCCTGTAATTCTCTTTGTGGTGGACGCTCTGAGTTGTCATTCATTGTCTGACGGCTGCAGGGGAGCCCTGAGAAGAGAGGGGAAGAGGAAGCGAGTAACTTTCTCTCAGCAAAGAAATCTGTCACTGTCAAAATCTGGGAGAAGATGCTATGAGATTTGAGTCTCTTCTCTTCTCTTCTCTTCTCTTCTCTTCTCTTCTCTTCTCTTCTCTTCTCTTCTCTTCTCTTCTCTTCTCTTCTCTGAAAAATATATTTCAGAGTATGTTTCAGAGATGAGTTTTGGAGAGCCTCTTAAATGTATGAGTCAAGCCATTAATCCTATACATTATTGACAACTTACTCTATATCTGCACAGATTGTGCCTATCCATATGTTTTGTTTTGTTTTGTTTTTGTTTTTTGTTTTTTTGTCCATGAACGCATCTTTTGCATAGTTTTATGACCACTTGTAGGCTACTTTAGGCTTTTGTTCTGGTGGGATATATAAACCTCTTTGGCCCAACAGCAATTCAGGGTGATTATGGTGTAAAACTTCTACACTGCCATAAATAAAATGAAAAACAAAAACAAGGAAATAAAAAGAGAATCCACTTGCTCTTTTTCCAAGTTCCCACAAGTCTGACAAATGTCCCCAAAGAATTTGTGGGACTTTGCTATATTACACAGGAATTATGTTTATCCATCATTTCTTGTCGATTAAAATTCATGTTCATACTTTGGCCACCTTTTGCATTACTAATGAAAACTTTTATGCTAATTTGGGACTATTTTCTCTGACTGAGAGAGGAAAACTGGACTTTAAAAAAAAACAACTGTAACTTGGATTATATTATCATGCTCAGGTTAATTTTAGTGATTGATGAGTGACCAAAGTGTGCAGCAGGCTCCTCATGTACCGGCTCCGGTTGCGGGCAGGCAGCATGTGCTGTGGGAGGAGCTAAAGTTTGGAGGCTTGAAAGCGGCCAGCCTTCAGTGTGTGTGTGTATGTGTGTATAGTAGAGGAGGCTCGTCTTCCGACACACAGAGGATGGACTTCATGGTCTCACTAAAGGACTGTCTGACGAACGACTCTTAAGTGCACTTTGCGGATTTTAACGTTATTTTGCTTCATTTTTCGACAGTGTTGGTTTCCAGCGACTGAATACCTAAGAGTGTGACAAGAGTTTCTTTTTTCTTTTCTTTTTGCGCTGCAGCTGCTCGATGGTAAGGTCCTTTTGTGCCTGCTCGGTCCTGTGGTTCTCAGGTTAAACACCTTTACAACGAGGAGAACTGAGAAGCGGAATATCTTTTAAATATAATGTTATTTTTATGTAAAAATTGTGCTTTAGTGTTATTATCGGAGGAAGAATTTGTGCACCTCTTTCCCCCGGCATAATCTGAGGCAATTATTCTAAAAGGAGATCTTAAAAGCGTAATTGTAGGATTTCTGAGACATCGCGTTGATTGGTGGTGTTTTGTCTTACGACAGTTAATACTAACCGAGACTTTGAATGTATCCTTCTGTATAGTTAGTGATGTTGCTCACGTAGCAGCTGCTTTTATGTCATTTCGATCAGGGATGATGGTGATGATGATGAAGGTCTCGTGCACATGTCGCCTGTTTGCTCCTTAGGAATATCCCCCCAAATTCTGTTGTATAAAACTAATAACATTTCGGCTTCAGCAGTGATTTGCTGCATTGTTGTAAAAACAGCATGTGAGGGTGAGGAAACAGCCTGATGGACTGGCGCCTCAGTTTTCAGTCTACCCATGTGGGTAAACAGCTGCTATTTACATCCAACCGAAAGAAACGACACGCCAGAAACGGATCTGTTGATTTGACTGCGCTGTATTTTCACCAGACTTAAAGAAACATGGGCACATTTGCGGCTGCTTAGTCCTGATTAACCACACAGGTCAGTTAACACCATGTGGAGCCTTTTGGAATTGATTGTGTCCAAGTTGCTTTATGTTGTTTCCTGTTATTCTCTTCCAAATAGATCGCCTCTTCTTATCTCTGTTGGCCTGTTGTAGAATGTGTTGACATACCTCCTGTATCAATCTGCATTTCTACTGAACAAACACAGTTTGACAGGATAAAGCAGCTCCTTTTCTAGGTCACAAGGAATGCTTATAAAATGTGTACTTTATCCTGAACTGATGGACCAAATCTGAGTTTAGAAAGCGTGTGAGAGCCAAGGCCTAGTTCAGTGTTTAGATGGTGCTGATATGCTTTGTTGGAATCAGACTGTGAATGACCACTGGAGCAGTCTTCCCCCTTCAGGCCTCTACTGTTCTTCTCCTCCCCTCACCAGTGTGTGATACTGTATCAATAACTCTAATAACACTGATAATCTCAGGCTCTCTTACTGTCAACAAAGCTGCAGAAACTTCTTCTCCAGAAGCACTTGCAAAAGCATCTTATGCCCCCCCCCATCCTCCCTCTCTTTTTCTCTGAATCACACACACACACACACACACACACACACACACACTCACTCACACTCATATGCGCACACAGACCCCCACCCACACAATCACACACACATTCAAACACTCAAAACAAACACACAGACTCCACCCAACACTCCACCCACTGTAACAACTTCAGAGGAATGGTCAGCATGTGGAGAGGTTGTGGTAAAAAATTGGAAGGGAAGTGGAAACCTGGGAGGGGAGAGACACTGATGCTTTTAACTCCCAAAAGGTTAGTGATATCTCATATAGTGTCCAGAGGGACTGGAAGTGATCAGTGCAGACTGATGGGAACTTGTATATCCAGAGTCCCTGTGCAGCCTCAGTGCTGAGGTGTGGGAAAACAGTCATTTCGCTGGGCTGAAGCCAGATCGCACCCAGGGACAGGGCAGGCATGAAGCCAGCCTCTCTGCCTTTTCATCAGCTGAGTTGAGTTTGTGCACAGTTGAGTTCAAAAGTGGTTCATTATTCATCTCAAATGAAAAAAAAAAAAGAGAGAAATGTATCCCATGTAGCTTTTGTTTTTGTGGAGGTTTTTCTGCAGCTGGAACATTTGGCAGCGAAGGCACATCAGTTTGTGCAACCTGCAAGAATTCTTGTAGCGTTAATGCAACCTAAACTGTGAAAAGTCACACGTTACCTTTTACACATGGGTGATAAGGTTTAATGGTTCACATTTGCATTCACTAAAACCTGGCTGTAGCCCCGTTCGCTGACTGTCTCTGCTGTGTCTGTGCATAGCTTTGTCTGCCAGTTTCAAGGCTATTCATATTCAGTTTGACCTGCAGGTCCTGTAGAAAGGCTGGCCAGGCCCTGCAGGGGTATAGATGTTGGGCCAAAGGAGTGTTCTGGATGCAGGTGATGTTCCTCTGAGGCCATGCTGATAAGCCTGAATTCATTTTCCTAAATTGACTTTTCTTCCCTCTCCTGTTGCTTCCCACTCTGGCATTACTTTCACAAACAAATCTGTTTGTAGGAGTGAAAACATCTGTTCCACATGCATTTGAACCGTTCTTACCAGACTGCCTGGCCATGATCATCACTCTTCACACAGAGGACCAGAATATCTACTATAAATTAAAAGATTAATGCCATATTTCTATAGAAACCCTCTAATTGTATAGAAAACTGTCTTCACACTCCCATAATAAAGCTGGACAGTGACGGAACCAAGTTTAACAGGTTTCAGCTTTATTGAAAATGCAGGTTTATTCTCTTCACTGTGTCTGTCTACCAAGTATTTAGGTTTGTCAAAAATGGACCCTAACTGAGGTGTCTGCCTCAGGATGGAAATATATTACATAACATGTTGCTCGCCAGAGAGAAATTAATGTTTTTTACTTACTCTCTTGTTTGGAGAGAAATGTAGATGAAAAAGATAAACTGTGACTTTGTGATGGAAAACAGACTTTCTATGTGTCTGTGATGTTTTTTCCTGGTGAATCCACTGATAACCATATCTAATATTTCAGTGGGGTTGATACGGAGACAGTTATTGTCTTGAGATTTCGTATTTACATGGGAAATTACCAAGTAGGACCATATTATTTAACTTTATATGTGACCGAAGGTGAAAGTCGGTGTGCTGTATTGGTTAGAACAGAAAAGAGGAGATGCTTTTAATACTGTATTTTAATTCACTTTGTGTGATGTGTCCATACAAGCTGCATGCACGTATTGATTTATGCATGCTTCACTGCAGACAACCCATTTATATTAGGGACTGTATAAAAATTATTAGGGTTCTGAAGGGTGGTCAGAAATGCAAGAGTTTATTTTGATTTTTTCTTTTGGCTGAAGGGACAGTAGTCTGAGGGTTGTTCTGGGAGAACAGCAGGCCTCCTTTTTTCCTGGTGCAGCCCCCCTCCCCACACAAATAATTTGCAAACAGTCCCTTTCTTATATAAATAGGCAAATTTTGTCTTCTATTGCAGTTTCATTGGAAATCAATTAATCATAATATAAACGGTCTTTTTAATCATTTCCAGTTATTTCCCCACTTAACTGTTATAGTTGAATACATTTATTTTGACCCCTTTCCTTATCTGCCCAATGTATCAGCTATTATCAGTGGGATTGTTGCCAGGACGGCCCTCGCTGTTGACTTATTACTTCCTTTATTGGCGGCGACTGCTCGCAAAGACAAAGACAGAGCCCCTACCTGACAGTAAACAAAGCAGAAGAGCCTCAGCTGTAGCTTTTTTTTCTTTTTTTTTTTTTTTTGAAGTCAACATGTTTGCTGAGAGCAAACCGCCACCTGCCTCGCAGCGGCAAACCTGACAAACGACTCAGACAAACTGTGTCATGTTTCCACTTGGGATGAGTAATGTGAGCGGATCTGTGGTCAAGGCTTGTGGTTACGATCATCGGCATTCATACCTGAACGCGCTGAAGTGATTGCAGTGAGGGTCTGACAAGGTGAAACCGAGGCCAGAAACAAAATATCGTCATCTGATACGCTTTTAAATCCTATTGCCCAGCTTGTCAAATCGTGTAAAGAAATGAGTCCTCACATCGGTTTAACTGCAGGGATTACTCGTGCTCCCCCTAACTCGATGTTTAAGTCATGAGATGAATAACCTACTATGGATGGCCAAGTCTGTGGATTTGATGTTGTAATTAGCAGATGAACTGTGATGCTAACACAGCGTGGTCCAGACCTCACAAAGGCCTCTATTGTGTGACTACATGATTGTAAATCTTCGACTCTCCTTTTGTCACGCCACAGAGTTTGTTCACACTTTTGACTGACATCATCATCATCATCATCATCATCATCATCAGCCCAGCAGATGAATGAGATATTGTGTGTTGTGGCCATTTGCAGGTTTGATAGCAACAGAGTTCTCCATATATCTGGGCCAGAAAGTCTCAACAAGTCCAGAGTGGCAGGGAAATAAATGAAAGGCCTTCTTTTTTTTTTCTTTTTTTTGCCTCACTGCTGACGTCTTAGGACAATCATTAAATTGCGTTCTGTCAAGATGTAGAGCCCTGAACAAGTGGAAATTTAAATTCCTCTTGTCTCTTTTTGTTGTGATGTTCCAACCCAAGGCTAAATAATGTTTGGCTCTAATCATGAGGATTTCCTGATTGGTCAGCGCACTTCATTAGTCTAAATGGGTCATTAGGTTAAAAGTGTAGAGAGTTTTTTTAACCCAGAAGCGCATACTAAACAAGAGGAGATTAGTGTAATCTATTTTCCAGTGAGTTTGTAGTCTCATAGCAATCATTTTAAAGCCAGTAAAGTGATTTCCTGAGGAGTGGCTCGCACATCTCCAAAGGTTCCCATAGTTTCTTTAACTGGCTGGCTGTGATCAAGTGGAAGTCTGGGAAATTGTGCCTCCTATCACACTACGCTCTGACTGACACGCACAACTCATTATTGACGCTTTGCAAATTTTTCAAGAACCGATCTCCCACTGTTCCCCGTCAGGCTTGAATAATTTGAGGCAAGGGCAAGTCTGTATCAGAGGGAATAGGGTGACCCCCAACTCTCTTTTAAGCACTTATCTCCTCTGCCAGTTCTCCTTCACTCGCTCGTTTGAAATGATAATTACTCCTTCCTGCATGGCGAAGCTGAGCAGTATGTACACTAATGTAAAGGGGAGTCTGACTATTCCTCAGAGCCTATTCGAGCTTAGGATCGCACTTAAAAGCGTCACATCTCACTCTTTGCTCTTCGTTTCAACACAGTGTGGATATAGCATGTTGCGATAGATGTCACAGAGAGACAAGTCCTGTTGCTAACC